TGTAAACCTGTCCCCAGTGCAATTACAATTTGAAAAACTTTTTAGCTGTTTTAGGGACCAATGAAGCTTGTCCTTGTCACCAAGACTGACAACCTAAGTACAGTCTTTGGAACCCACATGGTAGAGGGAGAGAGTCAACTCCTCACACACAAAAACACAATAAATATATTTGTTTTAAAATTTTTATTATCAAAGGATAGACAAACACCAATGCATTCATACTTACAATTCAGCTTTTTTTTTTTTTTTTTTTTTTTTTTTTTTGAGGCAAGGTCTCACTGTATAGCTTTGGCTTCCCTGAAACTTGAAACAGATCAGACTGGCCTTGAACTCAGAAATGTGCCTGCCTCTGCCTCCTGAGTGCTGGAATTAAAGACATGTACCACCATGTTTGAATATCAGCCAAAGCTACATTTGTGTAGTTTTGGCTGTCCTAGAACTCTATCTGTAGGCCAGGGTGGCCCTGAACTCATAGAGATCCATCTGCCTTTGCTTCTCAAGAGCTGGGATTAAAAAATGCACCACCACCACCAGACAATCAGTTTAGTTTTTTAAGACAAGGGCATCAGATCCTCTAGAGATGAAGTTACAAGCGGTTGTGGGCCACCAACTTGGTGCTAGGAACCAAACTTGGGTCCTCTGCAAGAGTACACTCTTAACTGCTGAGCCAGCTCGCCACTGGAAAATCTCAAACATTCTAAACAAGCATTGAGTTAAAACAGTGTGCATTTTGAAATGACAGACTGTGGAGAAATTTGAACCATACACGGCAGATCTTCTAGATGATGGCAGAGCCCTCAGAAGAGGCCCTTGCATATGTGAGAGGATATGAAGGTTTACGGAGAGTGTATCTATCAGCTCCCGTGTCAGAGGGCAGAGAAGGAACTCAAATAGAATAAGAGAGACTCTCAGAAACAGCTATCAGCTTGGCACAAACGTGCAGTCACACTTTTCAAAGTTCTTGATTTGAGGTCAGAAGTACAACATGATTTCCTGCTTTCCATGCAGGCAGTATATTCACTGGGATTTCACAAAGATAATAAATCCTCCTGAGCCCCAAGATCAAGAAATCTATCTAATTAGCTTCTAATTAGGGTCTCTGCCGTAAGCCCTTCCCAATTTGATCTGAAATTATAGTATATAAACTCAATCAAAATCATACTAATTCTTCTGTTCTGTTCTGGGGATTAAACCAAGGGCTCGTGCATGCCAGCCAGGCAGTTGCCCTACCCCTGAGCTGTATCACTAACCCTCTTTTTTTTTTTCTTTCCACTTTTTATTTGGACACAGGGTCCCACTAAATTAACCAGATTGGCCTTGAATAATACCATCCTCCTGAAGTAGAATCAAGTAGAAAAGCCTAAGTATTAGATAGTGATTTATTCATTTATTTAGTGATTTACTTGAAGCACTACTTGTACTGCCTGTTTGCTAAGCACGACCTCACTTGCTACCTGGAACAGAATGACCTGGAGGGACAGCTGAGACAATGGGCCTCTGCCCTTAATGGCCTGCTGACTGCCACACACACTTCTGTAAAATGCTGCTTGCTTGCCCACTCCACCTTGTGGTTTTAGAGTATAAAATGAGAATACAGTAGACCCATCATCCAAGCCTTTCAGGAGAGGTCCCTGGCTGCAGTCCATTGGTGGCCTCTCCGCTCTTCCATCTCACTGGTGTCGGGGTGCTTATTCCAGAAAGATTCCCCTAGCAGTCTACTGCAAGAGCCACAGCAACTAAATTATCTACCTTTATTTTCCTTCTGTCTGAAGTACTCTTAAGAGAAATGTAAGAATCAGGCCATTCCACTCATGGATACTTCATCAGCCATCTTTGACTGGGTGACTGGGTGGATGTGTGAACTCACCCATGCTAGTGCTGCAGCGAAGGGTCCACGGTATTGCTCACACAGTTGTCAGTGACGCCCCTCCCTCACCAGATTGCAGGTGGCATCAGGAAACCTCTTTCATGTGTTTGCTCACATCCATGATCAAAGGGCAAACAGCCCTGTACCCCTCACTCGGACCTGTCACTTCTCCCTCTGCTAACCTCTGCCTGGCGCTCTCCAGCCTTCTGTTCAGCACAGTCTCCAATTCAGTACTGCACCTGTGAGGATCTCTCCTAGGGCTCAGTGTACAAGTAGGCCTGAGTGAGAATTGGGACTCTTCACCCCTGGAGAGCTGAGGCTCCCAGAGATTGTCCTGAGTGCATTCCTCCTGAAGATTTCAGCATTTCATTTCCTCTGGCTTCAACATACTCCATTTTGAACCTTCTGGCCTTGGTGCACACCAGGGGTCAGCGACTTTTTCTTAAAGGGCCAAGTAGTAGAGACTTGGTACGGACCCTTTGGATTCTCAGTTGGCTCCTTCCCTCCAAGCTAAAATCTCAGAAAGAATAAATGCAGTTGACCCAGCCCAGTCCTTGGTGCCCAGGGTGCAAAACAGTTCTCTGTACCCTGAATCCATACCTACCAGGAGCTATCAGCCATGGCTACATGGATGAACACATGGCCACCAGGCTGCCCTTCCGGGAAAGACAGGCCACCCCAGAGGCCAGCTGTGGCCTCTGTCCATTGTCCAACAAAGCACAGGCTTAAGGAGATGTATAGTGAGTAGAAGAACAAGGGACCGAACAAATACTTGGAGAGTAAATAGCTTGATTTTTAGAAAAGTATTTGGGGTGGGGATGTAGCTCAATGGAGCCCTGCCCAGCATGTGTGAGGCCCTGGGTTCTAGGAATCCCCAGCACCTGTGAGTGAATGAATCAATAAATGAATTAATGACTAACTAAAGCAGGAAAGCCTGCATTTTAAATATTTGCTTTTATTGCCACCTGCTGGCCAGAACTAGTATCAGGCTAAACTTTTGTTAATGAGGAAATGTACAAAGAGCCATTTTCTAAGAAAAGCCGTAGTTTCTTTAAAAAAAAAAATTACTATTCTAAAATTAACATTTTATTTATAAGACAATTGTGTAAAATTTTGTTTATATTTTATATATGTTACATGAAAACATTTTATAGGAAACAAAGTTGGTATTTTTATTTTAAAAAAGGAAAACACAGATTTTTGTTTGTTTGTTTGTTTTTTTCAAGACAGGGTTTCTCTGTGGCTTTGGAGGATGTCCTGAAACTAGCTCTTGTAGACAAAGCTGGCCTCGAACTCACAGAGATCCACCTGCCTCTGCCTCCCGAGTACTGGGATTAAAGAAGTGTGCCACCACCGCCCAACTAAAGACAGATATTTTAAATGTCTTTATATAAAGAATATTTTAAAAATCAATATGAAAATATTAAGGGAATGAAGAGATGTATTGGTAGTAAGGAACACTTGCTGCTCTCAAAGAGGACCTGAGGTCAGTTTCCAGGACCCACAGGACAGCTCATAACTATTTCTAACTTTAGCTCTGAGGATCTGATGACTTCATTTAGGCTCTGTAGGTAACATGCACACACATATACATAAAGATAAATGATTAAAAATCCACCAAACAAAAAAACCTAGACAGTAATAGACACCTGATCTTTGGGGGAAACCTAGCCTGTGCCTACCTTCCACTGCATGACCAATGAATGGTGTGCCTTGTCCCCTGACTCTGGGACAATGTTACACTAGGCTATTTGTCTCCTACAATTCCTCCTGGCCATGCTTCGCTGACTGTCACATACTGATCATCACAATCAGAGCACAGGACATTTATCCTACATTGCTGCATTTGCACACTTGCCAAGTGTGGTTGCATCTACCTTTTTCTACCTGCAGACCCATCCAGAAAGTACCCCTCTGGAAGCCAGTGACGTCTCATTGCAGGATTGTAAACCCTGCTGTTATCAGTCCAGGAACACTGGGGTATCTATGATGGGTCTTCCTGAACCTCACCCACATCTTTCTCAAGCCCCCTTTACTAAGTTCTCAAGTTGCCCAGTGTTCTCATGCTGTCTGCTTCCTGCCCACATCCTGGCTGGGTGTCAGTATCTGTCCAACTATATGTCCAGAGAAGGTGATGACTGTGTCAAGGTCACACTACTCAGGTTGTCCTTCCTCTTGTACATACGGAAATCAAGACAACTCCACAGCACCAGAACACCCCTTCCAATGTGACACAGAATTGTATTCTGTCAATACCTGCATAATTTTTAAAGATACATTCACTTTCATTTTATGTGTGTGTGAGAGTGTCTGCCTATATGTGTGTGTGCCATATGTGTGGTGTCCCAGGAAACCAGAAAAGGGTGTTAGATCCTCTGGAACTAGAGTTACAGGTGGTTGTGAGCCGCCCCATGTAGATGCTGGGAACTGAACTTGGGTCCTCTGCAAGAGCAACAAGTGCTTTTAACTGCTGAGCCATCCCTCCAGCCATGCTCAGACAAATTTTTGATGTAAGCTGCATGGTAGTCTTGTTGTGAAAATTCTAATTGGTCTTAATAATAAAAACCGGAGTCAGATATAGGAGTTAATGCTGAAAGATCAGAGAAGCAGAGCAGCCAGCCACTAGTTCTTACCCTTACGGAATCCTCGGACAAAAAGGATGATCCTGTCCCTATGAATCTTTAGACTGGATGCTATCTCGAGGAAACTTCAGACCAAATGCAATGAGCTCCTGTCTCCTCCCACCTTATATTCCTTTCTCTGCCCAGACAGATCACTCCTGTATCCAACTCCGTAGTGCTGGGATTAAAAGTATGTGACTCCAAAGTACTGGGCTTAAAGGTGTGTGCCAACACTGCCTGGCTAACTAGAGGCTTAGCTTCATACTCTGATCTTCAACAAGCTTTATATGTTAGATTACAAACAAAATATCATCACAGTAGTCTTCTTTAAATTCTTAAATATTCAGACACATGCTTCCACTGTCCTAAAGTACCTTTTTCAGTGGTTTGTGGATTAACCCTCAAAGAGAATGTAGTTGGATAGAGTGGTAACAGCCTCTGAGCTTAACACACTCTTGCTTTTTTTTTTTTTTTTTTTTTTTTTTTTGTCTTCCTACTTTGCTACCTTTCAGATCGACATGAGGTTATCTCCAAAGAGATTTTGGAGCTGGACCCTTGGGAGAACCAGTGGAATGTTGTCGCCATCAACGTCCTCATGCATGACAGCTATGATGTCTGCCTGGTAGCTAGGATGAACCCCCGAGACCTCATCCCACCACCATCAGATCTGACTGAAGAAGGTGGTGACCACAGAGGGCAAAGATGAGGATTTCACAGCTGGAGGAGCCGTGGCCTGGCAGCCAGGTCTCAGATGCAAGACGCAGCATACTGTGTGTCGCTGACATTCTCATTGCATGCATAGTGGCCCCAGTGTAAAGCTGTACCGAACAATAGCAGGGGTGGGTGGTACAGGGTCTTCCCTTAGGGGCATCCCAGCCTGGTAAAGTAGATAGGGCAGTGCAGGACAGATGGTGAGGGTTCATAGGAGTGGGACAATGAGTGCGAGGAAGGCAGCACCCTGCTCTGCTAGGGACCCGGAACACTGCCAAGCAGTTCCATGGGTGCTTTTGATGATGAGGATGTGGGAGTGGCCAGTCAAAGGCCCTAAAGAAGGAAAGCTGGTGCATGCCTGTGGCATCTAGTCCAGCCTGGTCACACTGCTTGCAAACAGGATTTGTTCCAAAGAGCAGAAAGGTTATAACTAGGTGAACAGTGCCTGAAAGAGGAAGGAGCCATCTCTCTTGGAACTTTGCCCCAGCTTTGTCTCTTAGAACTATCCTGACTTGCAGCAGCAGTGCCCACTGTGAGCTAAATGTTTATACCTGGAACCCAGCTCTGTTGCCATGAGCCACAGTGAGCAGAGCATTCCTGGACACAGAGGACACTCAGGGTTAGTACTGTGTGACTAGACTAAACTGGATGCCCAGGGCCTCTGCCCAGCTCTCAGCTGCATGGGACCTTCCTCAGGTTGAGGTTGGCTGAACACAGCAGGTCTAAACATGGGGACCCAGGCTCTGAGTAAGAGAGAAGAGGCACCCATTGGCAACCTGCTTCCTCCTTCAGATTCCTCCCCTGGCTAGGAGGGTAGGTGATGCCTACTCCAGCCCAAGCAGGGTACAGTGAGCTCTCCCCAGATGTGCAATTACACATGGAAACCATTCTGTTTTCTCCCATTCATATTTCTGGATGCACAGCAGATCCATTTGGTGGCTGGTCCCCAACGACTTCACAAGAGCTCCTGTGTAAGGAGGGAAGGTGCCCTGGGATCTTCCCAGAGAACCGCAAACCCTGCATGGGGACAGATTGTGCTCTCCAGGTTCCAACCTCTCCCTGACAGGAGAGGCAGGTTCAGTCAAACTGGAGCCACCTGCAACTTGTTTCTGACACCAAGGTGGGAATTCTGGGGGCCTAGCACAGGTGCATCCCCAGAAGGCTGCACTCTGAGAGGCAGGGATCATGTCTGTCTCTCTGAGGTCACTCTAAGTCCCTATTGCAGTATCTCGCCCATGGGTGGAGTTTTGGGAGACAGCAAGTCTAAACTAAGGTCAGTCTCTGAGCTGTCTTGAACTACCAGTTCCAGCATCTTCATTCTGCCCCCTAGTGGAGAGTGATAACCTTTCTCAGGCAAACCAGAGCTGCTCCACCAATTGGCCCAAGCCAGTCTTGGGAGAGGGTCTCTACAGCCATGAGTCCCCTTTCAGAATCCCTGTCCATGCTCACCCACTTGGCGTGATAGAAGCTGCCTGTCACCTGGATCATGGGTTTCAGTGGCTTATCTTCTGAAGGCACTGGCCACTTGGTAGCCTGGACCATGGGCAGAACTTTCCCAATCTTACCTTCCTCCTACACAGATGGGAAGGAAATCCCCACATCCTTTACAGAGTTGGTGTGTGGACTGAGTGAGAAAATGCTGAGTGAAATACTGTGTTAAACACAAATACCAGGCTTTAGCTACTAGCCTTCATGCTGCCACCATGACCAGCATTTCCCAGGTCAAAGTACAGAACAGAACTGAACTGAACAGAAACCAGGACCTTAGAGGATCTCAGATTTCAGGGAGAGAAGATGGTTCTCATTTCCCCAGTGCTTAGCATCTTGGGAACATAAGTAGAGGCCTCCAGGGCATCATCAGGTACTGAGAGCCATCCTGGGCTAGGACACAATTGCTGTCAACAATAGGAAGTATGGTAAGGGAACTCCCCAGGGAATGCTGGGGGAGAGTGGCTAGTCTGGGACGTGTCCCAGAGGTGGAGGAGAGGCAGGAGCTGGGTATATCCTCAGGTTTTTCCCCAGCAGGCACATCCACGGTCTCAGATGTCTGTGTGAACACCCTTTGTTCTACATCCAGAACCCAGAGTACAGACTTGGGCTCCAGTGCTCACTCTCAGCTGGGGCTTCTAAGTCTGACTTCCTTATTTGTGATTCAAAACAAACCTCACTGCCCTCCCAGAGAACTATTGTTAGAGATTCCATTTGAACAGACCTTCCTGTTACTCCTTCACTGTCACTGAAGGTCTTCTGACACTGCAGGAAGGCCCCTTATAAAATGTCTACTACTGGGGCTTCTTATCTTTGTGACGCAGGATTGCTGGATGCAGAGTGAGGAAACACAATAGGGAAGTAATTTGGATGCTGGGCTGATAAAGGATGCAGCTGTCAGCCTCACTGACTCAGTTTGTGCTCAGCAAGATGCAGCATTGTTCTCAAGCTGACTTTATAATGAAGAAATGCTCTGACTGAAGACTTATAAAATACGTTTTTGCTAATGAACAATTGCCTGCATTTTGGTTGTCATATTGTGGGTGAGTGTAAGTTTCGGTTGAACAAGAATCCTGGTGCCTGGTAAATATGGTGGCCTCAGAGCAGATAGGGGAATGTCATGTCAGAGAATTAACATCCAGGACAGAGGCAGGTGGGGAGATGGGCAAGGGGCAGCAGGTGGCCTGCTTCCAGGGCAGTGCAAACTCTGGCCCTTCTCTTCATGGCCCCTCATTCTACACAAAGCAGATGGGCAAATACAGCCCCCTCCCCGCCCCCTTGAGACAGTCTTGCTATAGCCCAAGCTGGCTTCAATTTTGCAATCCTCTTGCCTCTGCCTCCTGAGTGCTGGGATTACAGGCATGCACCACCACACCCATCTATAAAGTTTCATCTCATGAGGTGAAAAGCCAAACCCATCTCAGTAGGCAAAAATGCCAGGAGCCCACATTTCCCGTGTTACTATATAACCTCAGGGGAACAAGATAACCATGGATTCTGAGGTTTAAAACAGCACAGACTCATCCCCATTCAATCCTGGAACTCAAGAGTCCCTGTGAATCTCCATGAGCTAAAGTCTATGGCAGTGAGGCTGTGACTCTTCTGGAGACTCTTCTGTTTCTGCCTCCAGAATCTGCTGAGCTGTCTTATTCTGAGGCCCCTTCCTCCATCTCCAGAACCAGCAACCACACAGCCAGTCCTACATCTTCTCTGTCTCTCTCTTTCACTTTCCAGGACTCTATGATTAAATTGGCCTGCGGACCATTCAGGGGACTTCTTGATTGGTGACTTTAGTCTCTACCATGTAACAAAATATATGCAGGTCCTGGCACAGGTGTGATGTGGTAAGGGAATAATTTTCCTGCCTATCATACTTGAAATCCTTTATGTGACCCACACAAAAGTCCACACAAATATGTGAATATCTTATTCCCCCACCCTCTCTTTTTCTGGTCAGGAAACACCAGGAAAATGGCAGCGGTATCAATACAGATGCCCTGGCACTGCCAGCCTGTGAAGACACAGCAAGAGGTCACCTCTACTCCCCAGAGGGCCTCTAGGAGCAGGGATGTCTGGAACTGAGGAGCCACCATAAATAAAACCTGTATAGCAAAAGGGAAAAGTGGGCAGAGAGCCAGGTCATGATGACTGCAGAATACCCAAAGTAAATCATCCCAGAAGTCAGCCTTGCCTCTGGCCCTTTCAGGTTTGTTAGTCAACGTCTCATATCCCTTTGTGAACCATCCCAAGGCTTCTTAACAGTGGCACCAGGGAGGAGTGCATCATTAGCAGAAGGTAGGGGTTCAAAGGGTAGGAGAGTCATAGGTTGTGCAGTTGACTCTGGCCCTTGATTGGGCACTCCAGCGTTAAGTCATACCTATTACACCTGGGCATGGGTCTGAGCAAATGCAGCTGCCTTGTGCAGTCTTGCTGGGAAAGACTCCACATGCTGGAGCCAGTTGCTACCTCATTGGATCTTCATGAGTCTGTTATATGGGACCTATAATAAGGCCCGGGGAGGCAGAGACACTCCTGTTGAAAGAGCCAGTTAGAAAACAGAGCAGGGACTCCAGCCAGGGAAGCCAGTAGGCTAACTTCAGGTGTTCACTGTCACTCCTCTCCTCTAAATCCAGTCCCCAAGTTTCACCCTCAGCTCTGCAGCAAACCATCTGTGGCCTCCTCCTTCCCCTTCCCATCCCCCTATCTTGGGTGGATCACATATCTTCCCCTTCAACCCTCCTTCCCCCCAGCTCATCACTTTATTCCAGCCCCCAAATGCAACAGGCATTCCCTGGGAACCCACTGCCCAGCCTGTCAGAGAAGCAAGTAGATGAACTTCATACCTTCCCTTCCCCTCCTTTTCTCCAAATCCAGTCTCCAGTCTCACCCCTGGCTCTGGAGAAGACTACTTGCCCCCCCCCCCCGCCACTCTCTGCCCCAATTCTCAGGGAACTGAGAGGAGCCTGGTGGGAAAACCCTGCCTTCTTCCCTCCTGTGGGCATTTTCAGTCCACCCCCCCCCCACACCTATCCCCATTCATAAGTGCCAGCTCCCAAATCCCTGAAGCCCCAGAGATCACACCTATCAAAATCCCATTAGAATTCCCTACCAGGTAGCACATAGCCACCACACCCTCCTAAGAATGAGAAAGGGCAACAGAAACCAAGGGACAAAATACCCACCCAACAAAGACCAAGACCAGATAACAGGACCTGGAACTACAATCATTCCAAACCCAAATGCCTAGACACCAGCATAAAACCACAATCAATAACAACTGTAGTCTTTTTGTTTTGTTTTTTATTCTTTCAGCATTTTGAGGGACCACCAACCAGCTTCCAAATAAACATTTGGAGACTTATTCTTCCTCATGAATGCCTGGCCTTAGCTTGCTTTATTTCTGGCCAGCTTTTCTTAACTAATTATCCCATCTACTGTTTCCCTCTGGGCTTTTAACTTTCTCTTTTCTAATGTCTGTCTTTACTTCTTACTCCATGACTGGCTGGGTGGCTGTGTGGCTGTGTGACTGTGTGGCTGTGTGACTGGGTGGCTGGGTGGCTCTGTGTGGCTGGGTGACTGTGTGTCTATGTGACTGG